ACTTGTGCTAGGCAAGCACTTTACCACTGAGCCACAGCCTCAGCCCGCAAGGTTTTTGAGTAATTTTGAGATAACTGTTTAATTTATTATTGATGTACATTTATTATTTTTTAATTATAAAAATTTTGGTGAGTGGTTTATCTGGGTTTTATTTGGGGGGGGATGATATTCATAAGTTAGGATTCCTTAATTGGAATATTCTTTGAAAAGGCAAAAAAAGCCACAAAATATTAATATTCAAGTTCTTGACTTGTCTACAGTTTAATTCCTTTTGTGTTCTGTTCTTTGCTGTGAATTTTTGAAGTGAAAAAAGCAAAAATTCACTTTGAACCAAGAAGACGACTCCTTTCTCTCTGTTTATGCAGTTTCTAGATGGCAGCTTTAAGAGAGAACTGTTGTGCTGAGTGTGGTGACACACACTTGTAATCCCAGCTACTCAGGAGGCTAAGGCAGGAGAATGGCAAGTTTGAAGCCTGTCTGATCAATTTAGTAAGACCCTTGTCTCAAAATAAAAATAGCTCAGTGGAAGAGCCCTTGCCTAGCATTCACAAGCCCCTTGGTTCAATCCCTGGGTACTGAGAAGAAAGAAAAACAAGGAATTGTTTTCCTTYTTCACTGTTTTTGCATGTGAAAACAATCCTTGTCAAACTGTTTGGGTAGTGCTGAGAAGTTATTCATTCTATGGCTTTTTTAAAAAAAAGGTACACAGTACCTTTATTTATTTATTTGTTTTTATGTGGTGCTGAGGATGGAACTCAGTGCCTCACACATGCCAGGAAGGTGTTTTACCACTGAGCCCCAGCCCCAGCCTCTATAAATAATGCCTTGAAGTAGTACAAGTGTCAGGCCACCTTCACTGAACTGTATCTGTTCTCTGTTGCAAAAATGATCAAAGGTATATGTTTAGTCTTGAGATTATAGGCATTTATAGTTTAATTTTTAAAGCAAAGAAGAGTTTCATAGTATCTTTTYATCAACATAGATGTAGACCGTGTTCTTCGGCAGCAGGTGGAAATTAATCTTGGATAACCATAGTATCTAGCAACAATAATGTACAGATACTTTGATGCTTCACTGTGAATAACCAAGTAAATGGAGTGTAAAACATCAATTTTATGTTTGTCTTGAGCACAATGTAGAATTTCACTCCTTATATATATTCTGAAGGTATCATTATTTGAAGCATTTACAGAAGACCTCAAATAATGATATCTGAGCTTTCAGACTGGTTTATTGGAGCAGTGAATATGTTTTACATATAGATTAGGTTTCTCTGTATGGTCTTGTAAACATATACACACATTCTCAAGTATATCCACAGAAAGAAATTACTTAATAATATCAAAAGGAAAATAGTAATTTTAAATTGGAGAAACCTGGTGGATTGCTTTAACCAAGTGATCAGAGTTGAATCACCAATATTGGGACAAACTGTATCTTGTACTTCCTAATTTTGATACTCTGAGAACACAGGTATTCTTGCCAAAAATGCATGAGTTTAATCTACTTGATTCTATAAATCAACTGATTTGTATTCTTAAAAAAAACCCTCAAGGTCAAGCTGGGTATGGTGGCCTATAATCCCAGTAACTCCAGAGACTGAGGCAGGAAGATGGCAGGTTTGAGACCACTCTGGGCAACTTAGTGAGACCCTATCCCAAAATAAAATTTTATAAAGGGCTGGGGATGTAGCCCAGTGATAGGGCACTCCTGGGTACTGTTTAAAAAAAAAAAAAAAGTCAAGAAGGGGAATGATTGAGGAATGTTGTAGGTTAAAGGCAACTGATACACATCACAACTATATCTATGTGTGAACCTGGAGTGAATCCTGAACAGGAAAGGGTATAAAGTACATTATTGGGACAATTAATATTGGGACAGTTTGGTAATTTAACACCGTGTTTATGTAAAAATGTTCTTTTCCTTAGGAAATACACATGCAGTATAATGGAACATGCTGTCTCCAACTAATTTTTGGTTATGAAAAAAAAGTGATGGATGCATGCATGTACATGTATATGTTGAGAGAAGATAATGAAGCAGATGAGGAAAAATAAACATAGGGTGAATCTGGGTAAAGATTATGTGGGATTTCCTAGTGCTGTTCTTGCAACTTTTTTGCAAGTTTGAAATTATAATAAAAAGCCATGTAAATATAACTGAGTGGTGTTAAAATTCTTTGATCCAGTTCATCATTGTGGTTTCAATTCTTTTTCTATGTTCCTTTGCAGAGTAGCCTTTAAATGAAAATGCTTTGGCTGGGGATATAGCTCAGTAGTAGAGCCCCTTGCYTAGCATGCGTGAGGCCCTGGGGTTCAGTCTCTGGTACTGCAAAACAACAAAAACAAAAATGGAAATGCTTAATTATGCCTTTCAATTCTGGGGTTCTTCACGTTGCAGAATAGCATGCATTAGGCTTAAAGCAGCTGTATATATTAAAATCAGTGGGAGATCAAGGAAAAATAAAAAGAGTTCAGGCAGGTGGTGAGAAAACTGAATAGATATACATTTCTACTTTAATAGTGTGGTTTCATAATATTCTTTGGGAAAACTGTAAATTTTTAAAATATCAGACATAGCCATGTTCAAGCAAAGACATTATCTAAAACTGCCAAATGGACTTTTTTTTTTTTTTTTTGCGTGTGTGATGCTGGGGATTGAACCCAGGGCCTTATGCATGTGAGGCAAGCACTCTACCAACTGAGCTATATCCCCAGCTCCCCAAATGAACATATTTTTAAAAATATATCTTTAGATGTTGATGGACCTTTATTTTTATTCATTTATTTATATGCGGTGCTGAGGATTGAACCCAGTGCCTCCTCACACATGCTAGGCAAGTGCTCTACCACTGAGCCACAACCCCAGGCCAAAATAGACATTTTTTAAAGTACAGGATGAATTATTTCTTAGCTTGAGACCTGAAGTGTTTCAGATTTTGGAATTTTTTGGRTTTTAGAATATTGATATAGATTTTTATCATTTGAACATATGCTCAAAAGTTTAAGATTTTGGAGTAGTCTGAATTTTGGATTTTATCTAACCTGTTTTTATCTATCAATCGATCTATATCTATCTGTGCTGGGAACTGAATCCAGGGGCACTCTGCCACTGAGCTACATCCCCAGCCCTTTTTATTTATTGAGAAAGGGTCTCTCCAGGCTGGTCTTGAAGTTGAAATCCTCCTGCCTCAGCTCCTGAGTTGTTGGGATTCCAGATGCGCACCACTGACTGAAGAAAAGCATTGTTTAAAGAGAAACTTTTTAGAGTCATATTGCCAGTATTTGTTATAGTAAAGAAACCTGGGGCTGAGGATGTAGCTCAGTGGGAAGTCATRTGGGAGGTCTTGCTCCCACAAGTCTCGCTCAGTGGGAAGTCTTGCTTAGCATGTGCAAGACCTGATTTCAATCCCTAGCATCACACCCTGTATATATATTCTCTGTGTGCTTTATTGGTACAAAGTGATGAATAGTCTAATTACTGCCTGGCTTATGAAACAGCTAGGAGTTGCACTTGTTTTTATTATTTGTGATTTGAACCTAATATTTTTAGTGTGTGTGTGAAGCTTGTCTAAGTACTTTTTGTTCTTTCTTTTTCTTTTTTTTTCTGACTTTGACAGTATTGTTAGCCCATTGTAAAAACAAAATTTGAAAACTATAAAAAAGAAAAAAATGGCCCATAATCAGTCTTTCTAAAAGTAACTGCTGTTAAGAATATTTTCTTGGGCTGGGGATGTGGCTCAAGCGGCGCTCGCCTGGCATGCGTGTGGCCCAGGTTCGATCCTCAGCACCACATACAAACAAAGAAAAATAAATATTAGAAATTTAAAAAAAAGAATGTTTTCTTTTTGTAGTTTCAAAATCATAATGGGCATTATACTTGTATACAATTTGACCATGCTTCCTTCATGTAACATATCATGCACATTGTCCCTCATTATTAAAAATTCTTTGACACTGTTATTTTTAAACTTTTAATAATAATCCATTATATGATGAACTACAATTTACTTCTTTGTTCTGAGATAATAATTTTGAAGGCAAATAACATTGGTTATGAGATATGCATATGGATGAATATTTTGGTCCATATACTCTGTTTTTCTTGATTTTTATTCTTTTGAGAAGCATTGTTTGAAGAAAAGCTTTTAAGAGTCATATTGCCAGTATTTGTTATAGTAAAGAAACTTGGGGGCTGAGGAYGTAGCTCAGTGGGAGGTCATGTGCTTATTAGCATGCGAAAGACCCTGGGTTCAATCCCCAGCATCCCTGCCCCCCCCCCMAAAAAAAAAGGAACCTGGAGGAAATTTTTTTTATAAAAATATTCTTTTGTTAGTTAATTCTTAAACATTTGGCAATTTATTTCTGATATATGTATTATGCAGATGTTTTTCAAATTAATAATAAATTTAATGTTTCTACTTGGCAGATATGAATTTAAGAACTTTGAGACTATCTATTTACCTCAAAATTATGTAAGATAAATTACAATTTAGATCTTAAGACATTCTAATTTTAGGATGAGTTGCAGACTGAGGGCAGTAAGCATTACCTTTAATGTCAGGAAGCATAGTAGTATATTCTTGATTATAAAACACTGAAAGTGATCTTTCACATTAATTCTTGGAATTAGTGATTATTTTCACATTAAAATATTATTTTATTAGTCTTAGAATTACTTATTTGACCAGAAAATACACATGAATAGTTGAAGGTCTTCCCTTTCTTTGAGTCTTTTTGCATTTCTTCAGCAATAATGAGGAGGGATTCCTTCCTAATAAAGCAGACACTTTTAAGTGTATGTGTAATAGGTTCATTAGTGATTGTGTATGAATAAATCACATCTCCTCTGGTGCTTAAGGTCATCCTGATTTAGGTATGTGGTGGCGTCTCATATTTCATAAATGAGTACCTGAAATATATATTGCATTCATCTGGAAGGAGTCTAATAGACCCACTTAAAGTACTGTTAACATCTGTTATAATTTCATGTTTTGGCAGGTAAACCTAGCCTTTAAGCAACCTGGAAAGAGGCTAGAGCACCAAGGAATTAGAATTGAATTTGTAGGTCAAATTGGTGAGTTTTAAAATAGTATTACTTTTTCTTTTGATAACTTGAGTTTGAAGAGGGTTGGATTTGGCACTTAAATAAATAAAGTTAAACTTGGTGGAAGGAAGGAATTGATTTTGCATAATAAAAGAGAGGACTTAATATATTAAATCAGAATGTTTCTTTTAATTGTATTAAATTGCCTTTGACTCATTCTGCCTGTATTATTGGATTTCACTACTAAAAATGWAAGATATTATATAAACTACTAGCCTTGAAAAATCAATTGGCTCACTCACCAAAATTTCCATCTGTCTACATTTTCACCAGCCTTACAACTACCAGCTTCACCTTCATTTTTCATTCTCTAATTATCCATGCCATTTGTCTTCCTGACCTAGTGTGTGCCTGTAGCCAGACTCACCTAGTAACAGAAAATTCCATGTGAAAAGGAAAGGGATGATTTATTCTTAGATCAAATTGTGTACATTTCCATAAATGTATTTTAGAGACATTCTTGATTTAGCTGGGAGTTAAAYTGTATATAAATCTTTTATACTATATATTCAGAAAAAAGAGGGTTAGGAGTATGTATGGCTCAGAGGTAGAGTGCTTGCCTAAGCATGTGCAATACCTTGGGATCAGATCCCCCCATACCATAGATAGAAATGAAAGTAGGTCTTTTCAATACTGTCTACAAAGCTAGGTTTTTAAATCTAGTTTTCTAAGTTTTACTGTACATTTTTAAAGCATCAAAAATGGAATGGGTAGATATTTGTTTACATATATATTCTGAATGAGATTGTACTTAAGGGGCAAATTGTAATAATTAACTGATAGTTGGTTTTATTCTTTTGTGTATTACAGTTTTATCAAGGTAATATATTTGTCCAAAACAAAACTACAAAACAGAATTTTTGCCTTAAAGGGAAGAAGTTCAAATAATTGCTGGTAATGTGTCAAACAGCTTTATACTGGGGGAAATCCCTAACTACATCAAAAGGAATGAACTCATTTCTGATAGGAATTTTCATTGTGCTATGCTTCTTGAATTTAGTGATGCCTAAGTGGAGCATAATAATGGGGATGATAAAATTCAGATCATAGTTCTAGTTTATTAGAGACAAATCCAACTAATTCTTTTGGTAAAAATTATTTGCTTTGGAGGTAGAAGTTTGGGTTTTATTGAAATGGACATTAAAATATAATTAGTCTTTTACTGTTTTAAATTTCTTAGAACTCTTCAATGACAAGAGTAATACTCATGAATTTGTAAACCTAGTGAAAGAACTAGCCTTACCTGGAGAACTGACTCAGAGCAGAAGTTATGATTTTGAATTTATGCAAGTTGAAAAGCCATATGAATCTTACATCGGTGCCAATGTCCGCTTGAGGTATGAATGTATTACAAACTATAAGCAGAGTCAAAACCAGAAAGTAATGGCTCTTATTAACGTCTTATTTGAACTCCTAGTTGTAATTCTGAACTGAAGATTTAAGGTTGGAAAATGTTCTGCACATTATTTTGTTTGGCTAGGACTGATCTGAAGAGCTTTTTTCTTTGGTACCAGGGATTGAACTCAGGGGCACTCCACCACTGAGCCACATCCCCAGCCCTAATTTGTATTTTATGTAGAGACAGGGTCTCTCTGAGTTGCTTAGCGCCTCACTTTTACTGATGCTGGCTGTGAACTCATGATCCTCCTGTCTCCGCCTCCCAAGTTGCTGGGATTATAGGCATTCACCATCAATGCCCAGTGACTAGAAGAGCTTTTTAACATAGATTCAGAGAAAACATATGAAAAGTTTCAGTTATATATTTCCTTTGTGTAATTATCTTTTAAGTACTTCATTTGTGAAGAAGTACCTAAAATCTCCATCTGTCCACATTTTGAACTGAATTACTCTCCAAGTATATTTATTTTCTAATGAATCTTATTCAATATATGGTTAAGAAGTGATCTGGAACTCCAAAGAGGCTGACTTATCTGAAAGTACAAAAGAAGCAAATGGCAGAACTGAAGTAGGAACCCAGTTTTCCAAATTCTCARTCCAGTATCCTTTCCCTAGGTCTTCTTGCAGGAAGCCATGAATGCTTCAGGGACCAGGGCAATTAAAGATACTAATCTGAATGCGTCAGGTCTAAGAACTTGCTTTCCTAGCTTACTTGGCATTGTCCATCTGGTACTGGATTTGACAGCCCAAATGCCAAACAGCAGTACTTTAACTAGATATAGATTTCCTTACATAGGTTTGACAGTTTCCCTGCAAACTTATCTGAAAAGTATTTATTCTTAAAATTGAATTTTCCTCCCCCATATGTGGAACAGTTTTTTTGTTTTTGTTTTTTTATTAAGAGGGCTAGGAGTATAGCTTAGTGATAGAATGCATACCTAGCATTTGTGTGGCCCTGCACCAAGAAAAAAAAAATTAGAACACTTACTAAGTTGACCCCAAAGGAATTCCAGCCAAGAAAAAACTGAGGTAATGTTTGCATATTTAGAATATTTAAATTTATCATAGGTGATTTATCTCATTTCCTCTATTTTATAGGTATTTTCTTAAGGTGACAATAGTGAGAAGACTGACAGACTTGGTGAAAGAGTATGATCTTATTGTTCACCAGCTTGCCACCTATCCTGATGTTAACAACTCTATTAAGATGGAAGTGGGCATTGAAGATTGTCTGCATATAGAATTTGAATACAATAAGTCAAAGTAAGTACCTTTCACAGATGAATGTTCAGGGAAAATTTAAAAATCTTTTCAGGCCTTTGTAAATTGATCACCATAAGGATAGAATTAACATTAATCTGATGTTAACAGACTGACAGTCTCTGAGCTACAAGAAATTTGAGGAGTTTGGTCTTGCTTCCACCCCAGAGAAAGTATCTTTTATATTCTATTCCTGATAAGATTCTGCTTGATCACTTTATGTAGAGGATCTTAACATCTCAGAAGTAGCCAGTTTCATTTGTCTGTAAAATTTACTAGCTTGATATCACTTCATCCTGGCTATCTATTTAAACTGAAACAAAAATCCTTTTTTTCTGACTACATAAACAGTACATTTTCATTATTGAAAATTTGGAGGATGTAAAAAGTGAAAGGAAGTAAAAACGTCACATATGTTCACCTTTACTATTTAACCACTAATAATATTCTCTTGTGTGTCTGTTTTGGGGGTGTGGTATATATATATATATTTTTTTTTTTTTCAAAATGGGTTCATACTTATTATTTAATACCTTTTAAAATTTTATTATGGAAGATTTCAAACAATTTCAAAGTACATGAATATTGAATAATATAATGAATCTTCATGTACCCATTGCCCAGCTCCAACAGTTACTAGCTGCTTCGTTTTGTCTGTATTTAGCTTCCACACTTCTCATAGACTATATTGAAACAAATTCTAGACACATGATTTAGTCTAAAAAATTATACATTATTTTAGTGTAACTACAATACTATTCAAAAATATTAACTCCTTAATATTTCTATAAATATAGTCAGCATTCACATAACCCAAATTGACTCATTTTTTGTCTCTTTTTTTCCACATGATTTGTTCAAATCTGTATCCAAACAAGATCCACAAATTTCATTGGATTTTYTTGACTCTTAAATCTCATAATTTTATATTTTTCCCATTTTTTTATTAAAGTCTTAATTTGTTGAAGAAATAGATGGCTTGTTTTTTCTCTCTTCTACATATTATTCTCTTGCATAATCTTTTATTGTCACTGCCAACTTTATARCATTTAAAATTTGATAATGTGTCTATAGAATCTTAAATTGTTGATAAATTATCAGATACCTGGAAACCTAAACACTTGTCACTGGAGTTTCCTTTCAGACTCATGTGGTTGTATTCCCAGATTTGTTAGCACCTTATTTCAAAGAATTTAGCAAGGGTCTTTGGTTATTAAATAATATACAACAAAATCAGATCTGTGGAGGTAGCCCCAATTAATCTCTCTTTGAGGTCAGATTTATTAGTTGTATTATTGTAGCATTTATAATGATGCTGTTATATAGAACTTTTAATGTTGAAAATATCTTCAACTGGAGGCCAGTCTGGGCAACTTAAGCAAGACCCTCTCTCAAAATAAAAAGAACAATAAAAAGGGCTGGGGGTATAGGTCAGTGATAAAGTGTCCTGGTTCCATTTCCATTACAGTTGATCAGTCAATCAATAAAATGAAAATATATTCATTCATTTGAAACAAATATTTCAAGCATAAAGAATCTAATTTTCTATTTGGTTAACTGCTTAGATTCTCTAGGCAGTAAGTCCTAAGTAGGACCAAYAATTCATCAGGCTAATTGTTCCCTCCAAGATATTGAAGGTCAAGTAAAAGTTTGATAACATACTTGATCATAGTGAAATGAAAAGGGACCTGAAACATTATGAATAGTCAAAATGGTATTCTTAAAGTTGTTATCTTAAAGATACCTATTAAAGCCTTCCATGGCTTATTTCACTCTTTTTCTTGTTTTTAAAATATACTTAGTGATATGTATTCTCTCCCAATAGATATCATTTAAAGGATGTGATTGTTGGAAAAATTTACTTCTTATTGGTAAGAATAAAAATACAACACATGGAGTTACAACTGATTAAAAAAGAGATCACAGGAATTGGTAAGTTGAAGAAAGTATTTGAATTAAAATTTCCTTCTTTTAGTTGAAATTTTAGAAATCTTGAAATTTTATTTCAACATAAAATCAATTTGATATCCACATTRGAAACTGACTTGGCTTCTTAATATTGCTGCCCATAGGAAATCCACTTAATGCTTTTTTAAAAACTGKTTTTTGAGCTGGGTGCAGTGACATGCATCTGTAGTAGGACCACCTGTTCTGAAGACTTGAGGCAGGAGACTGCCTTGAGCTCAGGAGTTCAAGGCCAGCCAGGACTACACAGCAAGACCACATCTCTTAAAAATATAAAGAAATACATAAAAATTTGAATAGGTGGCAATTTCACTTTGCTCAACAAGTATGAAAGACTATATGGTAGCCAGGCATGGTGGCACATGCCTGTAATCCTAGTGACTAGGGAGGTTGTTACAAGAGGATCACAAGTTCAAGACCAGTATGGGTAATTTAGCAAGAACCTGTCTCAAAGAATAAAAAAGGGCTGGGGGTGTGACTCAGTGGTAAAGTGCTCCTGGGTTCAGTCCCCAGTACCGAAAAAAATAATAAATAAATAGGGCTGGAAATGTACCTCAGTGGTTGCCTAGCATATATGAGGTCCTGGATTCAATCCCTGGTACAAAAAAAAAAGAAAAAATTTAAAAAAACAGTAAAAAGTATCATATTTCAATACTTAAGTTATTAATAGGTAATACATTTATAAGTTTTTAAATCCTCCTAGAAGCTGGGCGCAGCAGCATGTGCTGTAGTGCCAGCTACTTTGGAGGCTGAGGAAAGAGAATTACTTGAGCCCAGGAGTTCAGGGTCAACCTGGGAAACAGTGAAACCATGTCTTTTTTGATAAAAGGTGAAAGATTTATACAACCTAAAGAGAAACCAGAGTGTGAGACCCTAYCTCTTAAAAAATATTYATAATTGGTTATCAAAATAATAAATATCTGGGGCTGTAGTTGTGGCTCAGTGTTAAAGTGCCTAATGTGTGAGGCACTGGGTTCGATTCTCAGCACTGCATATAAATAAATAAAGGTCCATCAACAACTAAAAAATATATATTTAAAAAAATGAGAAACATCTGTGATTTCTTAATCTCCATTTTTTTCACATGCTAGCAAAAAGTAAGTGATTTTAAGATATTAAAACACAACTTGAGCCAGGAGTGTTGGTGCTCACCTATAATCCCAGTGCCTCAGAGTATTGCAAGTTCAAAGCCAGCCTCAGCAACTTAGGGAGGCCCTAAGCAAGTTAGTGAGACCCTRACTCAAAATAAAAAACAAAATGGGCTGGGGATATGATACCAAAAGAAAAACAGACAAACAAAAAACCCCAACAATAACACAAAAACGTTACTTGAGTTTCTCATTTGTTGTTTAAAAAGAAATTGTTTAAACATTTTTTTTAATATTTATTTTTTAGTCGTAGTCGCACACAATACCTTTATTTATTTATTTTTATGTGGTGCTGAGGATTGAACCCAGGGCCTCGCACATGTTAGGCAAGCGCTCTACTACTGAGCTACAACCCCAACCCCTAAACTTTTTTCTTGATAAAAAAAATTATGTTCTAGTATAGAAAATTTTTAGTTTTTGATACTGAGGGATTGAACCCAGGGGAACTTTACCACTGAGTAACATCCCCAGTTCTTTTTTATTTTTGAGGCAAGGCCTTGCTAAATTGCTGAGACTGACCTCAAACTTGCAATCCTTCTGCCTCAGCCTATTGAGTCACTGGAATTACAACTGTGAGCCACCACTCCCAGCAATTGCAGAAAATTTTAAATGAGGCGTTGTTCCCTCATCCAGCTCTCCACCCTCTTAATCACTTCCACTGCTTCGGACTTGGGCAGCTTTATCACCAGAGTCCCTGAACTCCAGCTTTCTTTTTAACCTACTGCATTGCATCACCAGTATGTCCCCCCATGTCAGATGCTGCCATGGACACTAGCTCCGAGATCACTACAGAAGACTTAGAGGAGAAGTAGTTGTGGAGGAGGCAGCTATTGAAAGGATCCCCCTGCTAATGGGAATGCTAATAAGGAAAAGGGGGAGCAGGAAGCTGACAATGAGGTAGATGAAAGAGAGGAAGAGGAGGAGACCATGGCAGCTGCCAAAAAATGGGCAGCTGAAGATGGAAGATGTCGAGAATAATGATATGTTGATGCCAAGAAGCAGAAGACTGATGAGGATGACAAGACAGCAAAGAATGAAAAGTTAAACTGATTAAGGAATAAAGAAAGTCCACTGTGAATTATTCACCCTCCACTTCCCATCTCAGAATCTAAACATAGTTACCTTTGGGTAGAGTGCTCCTGTCTGCCCACCTTGGGCACCACCTGCAGATGATGTACTTTCCACCACCCAATCAAAACCACAGTGTGAATATTGAAGACGGGAGGTGAAAAAGAACCAAAACTTCAAGACCCTGAATTTTTTTCTTAAAAGTACTTTAAGAAAGGAAAATTTGTTCGCATTTTTTATTTACATTTTAATTTTTGTACATATTATTAGTAGTC